GGGAAAGTTTGACACAAAATCTAGGAGGTGGGGGGAAGCTATGTAAAACTTTGAATTCGTTCAATTATCATAATATGTTTATTACATATATTCTTTATCCACTAGTTATGTGAGATTATCCTACATGATAAGATTAGTAACTAAAATTATTAAAAATTAAAAAATGACCATATTACCTAAACTAAATATGAATTAATAAAAAAGAAATGCAGTGATGTTTCAATAACATTTCAAACTTGTTTACAGGTGCAGCAAACTCTACTTTGTTAAGCTCAAATGCCAGGAGAGGAACAACAAAACCTTTTGATGTAGTGCTAAAGTAGTGAAATTCTTCTATTTTGAACATATCCAAAAGAAGAGATATATCGAACATGCCCCAAAGAAAGGGCATATGCAATATATTTTGGTAGAGAAAAATAAACCAAAGGAACAAACAATACTAGTAGCACGTGTGTAGAAACATTCAAGCATCTCCGAAAAATTAATCTTTATTCCAAACGCTTTTCTAATCTCAATGAACTTAAGGAATTTTATTATTCTCAAGTAAAGTTTTTAAGTATATGAGAAAGATTAATACACCTTTATTTTGTTTCACACACAAAATTGACTCATGGCTAGATTTCACTTGACTCGTTGCTAGATTTCAATGGCTAGGATTTAGATTTAAATTGCTACTAATTTTTTTTAGATTATTATTTTTACTAGGTTTGTCCAATTTTTTTAAAGAAAACACCTGATTTTGCATTTTAAATGATTTTAACTCCTAAAAATAGCTATTTTAAGCAAGGTCATGGACAACAAATTGAAGATGCCAGAATGAAAATACAATGCATAAATCACAAGGACAATGAGATTTTAAGGAGAGCTGGAAAAGCTATTTGACGCAACTAATCTTGGGAGATTAGACTTTATTACGGGACCAAGAGTGATATAATATTGGTTGAAAATCCAATGTGCCTAATTTTTACTTGATAAATTGCAATAAAAGTACTAGATTTTACAATATAGCCTCCCCACCTCTCAATAAACTCCTTCACCCCAATTCCTCATCTTTGTTGCCACCCGAGAAAATTTCTCTCTATTTCGCCCTTATCCCTCTATCACACACAAGAGATTCTTTTATATGTATTTCTCCAAGATTGAGCTTCACCGAATTCCAATCTCTTCCACCACCAACTCTCTATCGTGTGAAGTCATTCAGATTTGTTTAACAAGTCACATCCTCCCCGTTGCGGCGAGATCTATAGATATACACCACCAGTTGTTGTGGTATATATATATATATATATAAATCAAACAGAAGAATGATCGATGAAACGAAAAATAGAACGAGAAAAATTCACACCAGAAAACAGTAACACCACAGCGGAACACACAGATTTACGTGGTTCGACAATTGTCTACTTCCACGGAGTTACAGAGTCCTACGTCCACGGAGTTGCAGAGTATTTTACTACTTAAGGAATTTAGTCGATCACCTTGACTTACAAGAAGAATCTCTCACTCTCACTTCATTGCTCTCTCTTCTTCTCTCTCTATTCTTCTCTATTTATAACGAGATACACCGAAGAAACTCTACACCGAGATACACCGAAGAAGACAAACTTACAAGAGAAATAAGCCCCAATTTCTCTTCTGTCACAAGTCACCAAGAAGAAGCCTAGGGAGAACAATCTTCTTCTTCTTCCTTCTTCCTTCCTCCGCAAGGAACTACCGCTTATACTTCTCTTCCTCTGCCCCAAGGAAACCTTACTCCATCTCGAGGAAACCGAAGAAGAACTCAAACTGTGACTTCTAAACTCAAGGAGAGTCATCCGAAGCTTTAACACGAACAGGAAGAAACGAAGGGATGCTTTGATTCGCAACAGAGGAAGGCGGGAGCGGTTGGCGCATACGGTTCGCGAATCAATGCCAGGAGGGAATGGTCACGACTGTTTCGGGATCGAAGCGGGAGCACGGAGAGCGAGATCGCGATGTTTCACGATCGAGTGAGCGAAAGCGGGGGTCGGACCGGGGTCCACTTCTAACAAATCTTTTACTTGGAGACCGGTACACAAACTACAACATCTTACTCAAACTGATTTCCTCCACCATGAATCCTCCACTGTGAATCCTCCACCTTGAATCTTTCACCTCTGCAACTCAAAGCCTCTGTCTTCACTCCAGAAGACCAACTGAAGCTGTGCACAACTTCATTTTCTCAAGAGTAACACCCTCAGTCAACATATCAGCAGACTTCACATAGTTTTGTACATCCAAGCTATTTCTTGGGTCACTCTTG